TGTTGAGCAGACCACTGCTCGAGACCACCAATGCTCAGCAAGTATCTAAATGATGTGTGAGCTCGGCCGCTCTCATGTGTGCAAGATCAAGGGTTCGGATCCTTCCTTAAATTGTCGTTTTGCATTTTCTCAAAAATGCTCCCTGCACATCCTAAAAGCACTTTTGCGGGGTTAGGAGACCTGATCTTACCGAAAATGTTGTTTCTGAAGGAATGGAGCCATTCTGGAACACTCCTGAAGGATACCCTTGATTGTTGGTTTCGGCGGCATTATTCGTTGTGCCACCAAACTGATTCCAAATGGCATGGAAGCCAGAAGTGAATGTCATGTTTGTGATCAGGGCCGTCAGTAACCAATAAGGACTGAGATTCAGCGGAAAAGTTGCATGGCTCACAGAGATTTTGATCGGCGATAGTGCCAGCGACCTTAAGGAATTTGTTGCCCATGGTTACCCCACTGTATCGAAAATAGGTCGAAATCTCAAATTTGGTTGAAAACTTGTCTCTAGGGCTAATTTGAGCCCCAGAACACGAATATCACACTCGTTCGGCGTAAAAACGCTTGCCAAGGACGTTGCAGGTTCCTGCACACCCTGCCCCTCCAGAATGCGAACAAGATATTTTCACGAAAAATGACTGCAGTGTTGATTTCCAGAGCACCAGAACACCTCTAATTTCAGATTTCAGCGAATTTGGGGGTTTTGGTGTGCCTCAAATACATGCTGGAAATGGGTGTGACCTGGTCAAAATTCCTGCATAACTTTGTCCAGGGAATCGTTCAGCAGATATGGAGGGCAGATTTGTAATCAGCGTCCAAGGGCCCACCGGGCAGTATACATCTCATTTCGAATGGCCACTTCGACCAACCATCCTTTCCTGGTAAGTTACGTCGTTTCAGCAAGCTTGAAATAAGGCTTTAAGTTTTGGTTGTTATTTCGGTGTACCGTAACTTTACCCGGTGTAGTGTAGAAGGAAGCGATCCCATTAACGCACACAACATCCTCCACCACGCGCCGAAACACCACTGCCGTAGTGGGCCAGACTGTGACTGGAGGCAAGACTGTTTCGCTCTCGCTTGCCCAGCCTCAACCTGAGCCAAACCCCTTCCCCCTCCCACGCGAGCAGGCTCAGGGGAAGAGGTGGTGATGAAAGGTACATAAACGGCCACAGCTGAGACCTTGTAATGCGGGTGATTCAGAAAATCTAATTTGGGTTATACCTTTTGTTGACTAAGGTGTGACGTTGCCGATTAAACTCGAGAAAGCTAAATGGAAGGTGGCGTTCCTTCCAATCAGTTTCATCGAAGTTTCTCGCTGGGAGCAGCTGTAGGGAACTGTAATATGTTGAGTAGAGCAGCAGGGGGCGACAAGTTGCGGAGGGAATTTAGGTTTCTCGTGGTAATCAGGTATTAGTTTCGCGCGGCAGCGCCCATTACTGTTGACGACATAGTATGTTTGAAGGTCCATTAATGGCGACATTACCATTGTGAGAATGAACTCAGGCAAGGAAAGAAATAGAATAGCTGTATGTTAGGAACTAATTTGGAAGACTTCTGGCTCGGGTTTTTTCTGTTATCCTGCGGCATTTTAGAGAGAATGAGCGTTTCAAGACGCATGTGCTGTTAGCTGTATACGGCGTGGATCATCCAGGACAAGAGATTTGCGAAGTGTTGAGCGACTGTCTTCAAAAGCGCCTTGATCATGTTACGCTCAGCCAACTGATCGACACTTTGGCTAAAAACACACAAACGAGGCTAGACAGTGCTGATGTACAGGTATTTAGTAATTTAATTTGAAATATTTCGTTAGAGGACTGTACAGAAAACACTCATCCTTTTTGGCTCTTTAGTTCTCTATAAAATACCTCATTCCTCATAAAAGAAATGCCTCAGCTGCATTCCAACACCACAAAGAGGCCAGTTCATGAACGTCGGAACTTATTAGAAAGTTCTGAGAGAGTATTAGAAAGTGCTGCTGAGAGTGCTTCCTAGTTCTTGAATTTGCAAACCAGTGGCTTCTCCATAAATCGTGCGACTGCACATAGAGTTTGTTGTAGGTTCTAAAGCCTCATCGAGGGAATAGGAGCGGTGGAGTGGTTGTGTTTGCAGTCCAATTTCGATACCTGACGTGCCAAACTCCAATTCTGGATAGCTTGCATAAAATACAGGGGGGGGGGCAAAAAAAGACACTTCGACCGAGTCACATATCAGCAAAGTTTTCGCAGCCCAGACAGAGGACGTGGATACGAGTACCAGGGCGGAAGATACCCAAGATGTTCCTATACACAAAAATATGAAGTGTCATCTCCAGTCGCGGCCTGACCGGGAGAAACTTGAGTGCATGTCAACATCTAAAACAGCTGCGAAACTTCTAGTATAGGAGTCAACCATCAAGGATAGCTTACATCAGGAGCCAGTGCTCTTGATTGAAACGGCTAAACTCAAGCAGCTCCTCGTCCACGTCGTATACGGTCTAAGACTATCCACACCGTCGCCAAAGGCGCGGCTGAGTGGAGGGAGGTACCGTGGCAATGGAAAGACCGGTATATATATCTTCGGGACCAGAATGAAGGTGAAGCGCTTGGCGATTAATGAGCCACTCGGAAGAATATCGTCTCGCACATGTCAATGGCCGGGTACCGCTTTCTTGGAAACTTGTACTGGCACATGAGTGGGTGGCACCATCCATAATTGAAGGGGCGTTGGAAAACTCTCGCTTACTATGGAAATGGAAGGGCGTGTGATCTGACGCTAAACTCCATCAGATATACTGCTTCGGCGGAGTTATAGGGTGGTCTACAGTGGCGGAGAAATCAACGATCTCGCTGAACTCAGGCACCGAACCATGGTTGCGTGGCAGAATCTCTCGATGGCGGTGGTCCAGAAGGCTGTGGCGGAGCATCATGATAGTATTTAATGTGGGCTTTTGTATGTAGTTAAAAAGGTCGATCAGAATTCGTTCAAGGGTAACTTATATGTCCAGGTGTCGTGCTCGACGTCCTTTGAGACCCGCGCATGTTGCCCGGAAAGTCAAGAGAAGTGTCTTTGTCATTGTCGCCCCCTCGCCCTTGGTAACAGTCCGCGCCTGTAAAGAGGGCGAACGGGAACATCATGAAGGCCTCTGCGTATACCTGTGCCGACTCTGTTGCACAAACGTCTTCACTTCCCTTCCGCCTGGGTCCAGGTTGTCGTGCTCGGAGCTACGTACTTTGAGACCCACATGTTGCCCTCTGTGGATACTCTAGATATGGAACTTATAATTATTTTCCTTGCAAACGAGAGGGCGTGTGAAATGGCGTAGCTCGGATCCACGCTCCCGTAAGATTGTACGAGACTTTCCCACCGCCCGTTGCTGGCACATCAGGTTTCTCTTTCATCACTCTCCAACTAACTAGTCGACGCGGAGCGGTTTTCCTCGGCTCTCGTCCTATACATATGAGGTCGTTAGCTCTCTTTAGCGCTCCATAGGACCCTGCTGCGGGAGTGGTGTAGTGGCAACTAGTCCACCTGCTTAGTATAATGGCTCCCACACAGGCCGAGCAAACTCATCCTCCATGGAGTGTAAACTGGTACTAGATCCGTTTGGGAGGATACAAACACTACCATGTACCCCGAAAGTCATGATATAGGCCATATCGCACTAAATTAGCCACTGCGATTTAGAATGAAAGTAGAATGCGTGGCGCATCCCAGAGAGGGCTGATCCATGCCCCTCTTTGGGATGCGCCACGCATTCTACTTTCATTGGCCATGGGGAAAGCTTAATCCTTTATCAGGCTCTGCGACGAATTCAACACTTATAAAGGGCTTTTTTCCACTCTTGCCACCTTTTCAGTTTCTTCAACGCGACCCGACATCACCAGCTGGTGTGTTTAATTACTCAATACCGAGCTCGATGTCTCAACTCCTGCAACCGCTCAACTACTACACACATCAACATATGCAAGCAGTGATGCCATCGGCAAGATACAAGGTATACCTCGCGCTTTTTCTCTCCTTCAATATCCAAGGAACAGAAAGGGCAAGGGCGGTGCGATTAGGGAGGGGGACTTTGCACTTCCGATGCTTCCCATTGTCGTGTCGAGCCCTTGAAGTTGAGATTTGTAAAATCTTGTGACCCATGAATTGCTATCAGTCGAAGTTTATAGGGAGTTAGTTTCTGTAAAGAATACCTGTTAGGCTGCGTTTATACTTTGCGGCAGCGTAGCGTAGCGTAGCGCTTCCAGCGTACGCCAGCGGCAGTGCCGGGGAAAGGATAGATATCGATCTAGCTTCACCAGCGTCACCAGCGTACGCTGGCGTAGCGAGGGCACGGGAAGCATAGCTATCGATCTAGCTTCACCAGCGTTTCTCGAGCGTTTCTCCAGCGTTTCTCCAGCGGCACCAGCGTTTTGCTAGCGCTTGCAGCGGCAGGGAGTAGAGACTAATGTGGGCCGTGAGAGACGCGGAATCGACGTGTATAGTAGAGACTATGTGGCCGTCGGAGACGCAGAAGCGATGTGCATTGTAGAGACTAAGGGCGAGTGAGAGACGCGCAATCGATGTGTTTTGTACTCCAGCTCTCCCATAGTCTCTACTCCCCTGCCGCTGCAAACGCTAGCAAAACGCTGGTGAAACGCTGGAGAAACGCTGGCGTACGCTAGCGTGCCGCTAGCGTACGCTAGCGTGCCGCTGGTGACGCTGGTGAAGCTAGATCGATATCTATCCTTTTCCCGGCACTGCCGCTGGCGTACGCTGGAAGCGCTACGCTACCCTGCCGCAAAGTATAAACGCAGCCTGTCAATACTTGCAAAGCTGGACAAGCAGCGAAGTGCAAAATGCCCATATCCCCTCGTTAGACGAATTGAGAAGGGTCCCTTTGCAGTTGGCTTGAGGTGGCACATGCAACTTTTTAGTAGGAATTTCAGGAGGATTACGGTTCTGGCGGAACATGCACAGGAGAGCGCTCAGTTTTCCAGCCTTTGCCGTTTTCTGGGAAACAACCAGATTCATACGTTCCGATTTTCTATCTGCTTGTCAAGTCGCCGCAAGAAGGGACTCGATCCACTGGTCAGAAATAGAGTCGCGTTTTTTCCAAGGCAGAAGGCCATTTACTATCACCACCAATCCAACGCATGTCAGCTACTGATGACAGTTTAGGTATTGCTGCAATCGAGTTACGCTTTGTAACCTGTAGCGGGGAGATGGCTTCGTTGACAACGGGTCGTTTGAACATTTCAACACATATGAGCTTGGCACCGATATTATGTAATGAAGAAGAACGAGAGGCGGCATACAGAGAAATGACGTACACAACTAGATGCGAACAACTGAAGGAACTGCCCGGTAAGTTCAGTGAATGATACAGTGTTGTTCGGCCTTGGTGGTCAAAAGGTTCCTCCATTCATAAACGTTTTTAATGGGCATGCCTCAGCAGAAACAAATTCCGCGATTTTGTGGGGGCGGAACCTTTGTCTTCAAGTGCGCAGGTTTGGGTGGCGGGGGGGGGGGGCAGGCAGGCGGGGCACTCGTAGTCCGCCGCTTCTGTCGCGCGCGGTGATAAAAGCTAGCCTGTCAACACCGGATTTTATGTAGACCCGACATGGTGGACATTTAGGGCTGTTTTGATTATACATTGTCTATCGCTGCCATCTACGACCTAGAACCATCTTCACTTGCGACCGCGACGTCGCACGCGGCGCCCTCCAAGCGCGGCCAATCACGATTCTGTTGCCATTTTCTTTACTTGAAAGTTGGTAGGCAGGGCGCTTCGAGCTTGGGACTACCAGGCGCCCCAAGTTCAGAGTTCAAATCCCCGGTACGACTCGTGCGTAGCGCTACGTATTACCGCTACCCCCTTGTTATATGTGCGACAGAGTGTCTCGCTCTCAATCGCATTTGCCCGCCCTAGCTGAGCGCCTCTGTGTCTCTGCTCTTTGGGGCGTTCTCATCTATGCTAAAAGTCAATGGAGCCTTATCGGGGGGGGGGGGGGCTTTCGACAACTTCCTTTGCTGTTTTCTTCACGGATAACTGAGATAGCACCTACATTTCATATAGGCTCCCCACAAATGATTTTCAATCACGGATTAAGTCTTCGAATTCCGTTTAATCTTTGGAGGTGCGACCCTTTTATGTGGCGGTATTATGAATGGTGCATTAATTTCACAAATCGTCGGCAACCTTTATGAACTCTCTTTCGTCACATTCTCCCTTCAAGCGATGTCAGAGAAGAAAATCCTTGGATTGTAATTGTTCACTTACGTGTTAAGGAATTTGTGCATATGCTCAAGTGGCAGTCTGGCAAGCAGGAGATGTGAATCTCATCCAGCTGGACGATCAATTGCGACATGTGGTGCAGCTTGTAAGACTTCCTTTTTCTCATTTTCCTTAATTTTCAAATCATTTTTCAAAGACGTTGACCTCGTTTGGAAAAGTCTTCATAAGTTCGTTCCATTCAGGGAATATGTGATGTGGTCACGGAATTCGGAATTTTGAATCTGAACGTGATCGAGGTCGGCGCACAACTGCCAGTGAGTCCAGGACTGCACATAAGCCCGCATTCGAGTGAGTGACTCCTAAGCTTTGCACTGATCTTGGAAGTTTTCATATAACATAATCTGACGCAGTTCTGCTT